ACTTTGGGTCTAAGGAAGAAGTACCCAACATGTAACTTTTGGGCCACTTGTTTAGGGAAATTCTCCTTAGCTTTTGGAGCTAAGAAGAGGAGGTAAGAATCTAACATTTAGCTTTTGAGCTAAATGTTGAAGAACTCTCTCTAGATTTTAGAGCTAAAGAGAGGAGAAGTCTCCTACAACTTTGGAGTTGGGGGAGAATTGAGGGAAAATGCAACTTTTGGGTTGCAAATTCACAAAGGTCTTTGGACACTTTGATGTCCAAAAGAAGGTTGCACCCTTCCGACTTGAGTTTGGAAGGGCAAAGAGAAATAGGACTTGAATCCTAAGCTTGGGGTGAAGTTACTTGTTGTTTTTGTTTCAACAAGTAAGATAAATAGAATAAGATTAAACAACCCAACAAGGATTGAATACAAGGAAGTTCCATACAACTTTTGAGTTGTAGTAAGATTGAATTTCTCTATAATTTTGAGTTTGTAGAGAGGAGAGAATGCCTCCTTGAATTTTTGTTTTCAAGGAGGTGGAGTTTCATTTCCTTAATTTGGGTTAAGAGAAATGAAGAGAATTTTAGGGGTTTCCTATAATCTAGATTTGTAGAAAAAGAAGTAGTCCAATGCGCAATCTAGGGATTGCAAATTGGAGGAATTCCTTTGGACATGTGGTGTCCAAAGAAAAGAAAGGTTTCATCCCTCCAATTTTGGGTTGGAGGAGAAAAGGAGAGGGGATGTGACTTGGAAATTACGACCCCAAGAGGATTCTTTGAACATTTGGTATCCAATGAAGAAGGATTCATTCCTCCAATTTAGGTTGGATGGATAGAGAAAAATGAGATGCAAATTGGAAATTACAACTCTTGGAAGTCCTTTGAACATTTAGTTATTCAAAGAATGGAATACACTCTCCTAATTTGAGTTAGAAGAGTAAGGGTAAGAAGATGAACTTGGATGCTTTCCTACAATCTTTGACTCGTAGGAAGGATAAAAAAAAATTCAACTTGAAGGTTGCAAAGTGGAAGACTTTCTTTGAACATTTGGTGTTCAAAGAAGGGATCATCTACTCACCCAATTTGAGTCAATGGAATAAGAAGAATTCCTACAACTTTTGAATTGTAGAAATAAGAGAAGGAACATGAAACTTGTGAGTTGCAAATCCACAAATGTTCCTTAAACTTTTGATGTTTAAAGGAACAAATTCATTTGCCTAATTTGAGACTAGGCAAATGAAGGGGAAATGGGAGATTTCCTACAATTTAGAATTGTAGGAAAAGAAGTAGCCCAAAGTGTAACTTAGAGGTTGCAAATTGGGGTAGATTCTTTGAACGCTTGGTGTCCAAAGAGGGGATTCATTCTCCCAATTTGGATTTGGGAGCATGAATACGGATTTAAATACTCTTCTACAATCATGACTTGTAGGAAAGGGGAAAGGAAATGCAACTTATGGGTTGCAAGTTCAAGAACATTCTTTGAACATTTGGTGTTCAAAGAGACGTGTACATTCTCCTAATTTTTAGGTTTTAGGAGAAAGAGAGGGTTTTCCTACAACTTTTTGGGTTGTAGAAAAAGGGAAATCATGTGCAACTTAGATAATACACATTCATGAAAATTCATTAGGCTTTCAGGTACCCAAAGAACAGGATTCACTCACCTAACATGGGTTAGGAGAATGAGGGGGATTAGATATTTTCCTACAATTTTGTGTCGTAGGAGAAAGAGGATTAGGATTTGAATCCTAAGGCCGAGAAATCATTCATTGGTTTGGTGTTCCAATGAATAAATGGTTTGATAGATTTCCTACAACTTAGGAGTTGAAGGAAGAAAATGTATCTTTTAGAAAGTTACAAAATTTCATAGGAGGCCTTTGAATATTTGATATTCAAAGAGAAGATCGTTCACTTGGTTGAAGCCGAGTGAATAGGGATAAATGCTCACTTGTAGATTTTGTGTTATCAACAAATGAAGAAAGGCCTTAGGATTTGGTCCAAAAGTCTGAATGATTCGCATAATGATATATTTGGAGACTTGAGATGTCCCAAATAATCATGTATGGGAGAGGAGGATTGTTGATTTTGTTTCAACATGCAAGTGGAGGATTACTTAGAATTTATTTCTAAGATTGACCACCATGTAATGACATTTGATTGGAATCTTTGGAGATTCCAAATCATCATACATGAGAGAGAGGAACATTCATTTACCAATTTTATGTCTTAACAAATGAAGAGAAAGAAAAGATTGGTTGGTTTTATGTTCCACCACAAGGGTTGATAGTTTGGAGTTTGGTTCCAATCTACAAAGATTCGTGTGTAGGTGCACTTGAAGACTTGAGGGACTTCAATCTATCTAACATGAGAGGATGCTTGTTGGTTTTGGGGTTCCAACAGGAGATGTAAGAAAACTTGGATTTTGGCTCCAAATTTCTAAAGCTTGTAACATGATGCATTAAGGATTTGTTTAGGAAAATCCATAATGCAAGACATGACAAAGGTTGATGATAACTCCTAAGATATGCTAGGAGTCGGATGATAAAACATTTGGAGCATTGAGGGTGCTCCAAAAGTCATGCAATGATATGTGTTTGGGGCTTGAGAAGGTTCATGCAATGGAAAATGGACGCTTTGAGATGCTCCAAATTTTCCATACATGAGGAAGTGAAGATTACTAGAGAGCTTCAAACTCAATGAAAAGATTTTCAAATCAATTTTGGCGTGACTTGGGTAGAAAGATTGGTCCTACAACTTGAAATTGGAAGACAACCTATAACATTATCAAAGCTCTACAAGAAGGTGGTTTTCCCTAAATCGTACCTAATATGATTCGAAAATTTGAGAGCTTGTATTTGA